ATGCCCAGCTAATTTTTTGTATTTTTAGTAGAGACGGGCTTTCACTATGTTGACCAGGATGGTCTCGATGTCTTGACCTCGTGATCCACCCGCCTCGGCCTCCCAAAGTGCTGGGATTACAGGCGTGAGCCACCGCGCCCGGCTAAACTCACCTGTTTTTCTTCCTCATCTCTAGTCATGACAGTGGCAGATCTGTTTAATCATCTATTTCTGATCTCTTTACACTCTTGGGGAATGTAAGTGGTCAGTAGACTTCCTCTGAAGCCACCTTAGAGTTGGGGTGTGCAAGTGTGTGGTGACCACGTTTGTCTTCTTGTGGCTATTGAGATGAATTTTGTTACTAATGACTTACTCATCCTCCCTGCAGTCATAGGGCTTCTCCCCTGTGTGTATCTTCTGGTGACTGAGGAGGTGTGACTTCTGGCTAAAGCCCCGCCCACACTCCCTGCAGTCATAGGGCTTCTGCCCTGTGTGTGTCCTTTGGTGACTGAGAAGGTAGGACATTTGGCTAAAACCATGCCCATACTCCCTGCAGTCATAGGGCTTCCCCCCTGTGCGTGTCCTTTGGTGTGCAGTAACATCTGACATATCACTGAAACCTTGCCCACACTCTCCATACTTGGCTTTTGCAATTGTTGAGATTCCTACCCCCACAAATAATTTGCCATGTCCACTGGATTCACTTTCTGGCCTGTTCTGGACTCTTCTTACATCATTCTTTCTTCCACTCTAGAGCTCCCCATTTGTCCTTTGGGTTGGTTAGAAAAGGCCCTTGAAATCTCCCTCTGCCATGTCCTTGTATTCAAGAGTTTGGACCTTTCTCTGATCTCTTGACCTTTGGTTTTGTCATTAGAGTTGCATGGATCAAAATATTGCTGCTCCTCTTTCTGTTTCCCCCGGCAGGGATTCTCTGGTTGGAGGAGTTTTCTTGTAGATGTTCCTGGGAAGTTCTCAGAGGAATGATTGTGTTCCACATGATGACTGATAAATTTCTGACTTGAGAAGGCCAGACAGCATGAGGGACATGGATGAATCTCTGGCTTTGGTTCTGAAAGAGAAAGTTTTTGGTCAGGGTAGATGTTTTGGTCAGGCCTTACCACATATGAAGTCATGAAGATCAAATGAAGAACCAATCATTCTTCATATGTTAACAGTGCAAGCTCACTCCCACCAAGTGCTGGATGGATCTTTACAGTCCATTTTTCCATTCCACTTTTATTCACTACATCTTACAAAATTCAGAAATCCCACATCTTGGGCCTTTTCTATATATTAGCCAGACTAGGTAACCTCAAGCAGCATCAGAAGCAGTGTCATTCCTCACATTGATGGAACTTCAGTGACATTTCCCCCACACTACAGGTATCTTCCAAGTCCTATAAAACCCTCCCTGATCACTGTCTGCCACATCCTTCCTCCCTGGTCCCTGGGCACTTTCACTGACACGAGGTCTTCAGATATTTCATTCTATTAAAAAATAACACTCTTGATGACTTAGGTGAGATTGTCCCTAGTGACTTTTTTTTTTTTTTTTTTGAGACGGAGTGAGTGGAAGCTTTTGTTTTTCCTCTCCCTTCT